CCTTTCTCTCCCCCCCCCCCAATCCGCTCCCCTCCACCGCCACCCAGGTCTCCAACCTCCGAGACCTGAGGTCAGAGTTCCAGCGGTCCGCCCAGAACCCCCTACGAGCGAGGGAAATTGCCTCCTCCAGCGGGGGATCATCTTCCACGGCTGGCCGGCTACCCTCCGCAGCAACCGGCACCCTGGTCGCGGCCGCGGCCGCCGCGCAGGCTACTACCACCGCTTCTTCTGCTGGCGCCGGTAGCAGGTCGAGGAGATCATCTTCGTCCGGGGGGGGGGCGAGCGGGACGCCTCCGATTGGCGGGGCTGGGGTCCCGTCGTCTTCGTCATCGTCATCGCAGAGGAGAGCATCCGGGGGGGGTGCGTCGGACGGGATCGTCAAGGCCCCCTCCGGTAGCGCTGCGCCTTCCGGCCGTCCGAGCGGCGGAGGGTCTGAGAGGAGGAGCAGCGGAGGCGGTGGGTCTGAGAGGAGGAGCAGCGGAGGCGGTGGGTCTGAGCGGAGAAGCAGCGGTGACGGCAGCGGTAGTAGGGCCTCGGCGGCAACGGCGTCCTCTTCCTCGGGTGGTGGCGGTGGCGCCAGGAGCGGCTCGCTCCCTCATGGGGATGCGTCTCGCGACAAGATTCCTTCGCTGAAGCAGTCTCTCACCAACCGCGCTTCCTTCTCAAAGCCCTCCGGCGGTGCCTCGACGGCTGTTCCTGTCACCACCGGGCGAATCTCGGTGACCTCCACATCGTCTTCGGCGACGGCTTCCAGCAGCGCAACCCCCGTGTCCGCCTCCGCGCTCGCCGACGCCGCCGCGGCTCGAGCGGCCCAAGCCGCAGGTATGTACCTTGTATCCGAACCTTTTTTTGCATCATGCGGAATGCACCCCCCGCCCAACTCTCTTGCGGGATGTTTTCCGTACACAGGTATCTGAATCGTTTTTTCGTCATGAAGACCGCCCTTGGGGGCTGATTTCCTCAGGTATCTGAACCGTTTGAGAATCATGAGGACCCCCCGAATGGCCATCGGTGATCGGTCCTGTGGGAACGACGCTCCGTCCTCTCGAGGGCCCGTGGTCAACGGTCGAAAAACTGAGGCACGCGAAACGTAAGAATACCCCCACCCCCCTTCTCGGCGTAGGTTTTCATGAGTACCCCCCACACACACACGCACCATCCTTTATATGCCATGCCGCAGCCGCGGCGAGCGCCGCCAGCTCCGGCAACTTCCGGTCCTCGTACGTGTCGGGCAACAGCAGCGGCGCCGGGGGCGGGAGCGCCGGGGGCGGCGCCGGGGGCAGCCGAGGGGGTGACGCGGGGGGGGCGATGTCGGGGGGGGGTTCCCAGCGGAGGCCCACCCTCACCCTCAAGGCGGCCAGGGAGGCGGCGCAAGCGAAGGCCAAGGCCGCCGCGGAGGCAAAAGCGGCACGCGGCGGAAAATAATAGTACAGCACCCATTTTGCGACAACGCCGTTGGTTTGTTCCTGTTGTACAGTCGTGGCGCCGATAAATGCGGCCACCTTATGAGAGGGGGCTCCGATATATGAGGGTCAAAATCTGTTGTCACGGACTCAGCCCACCATAGCATAGTTGGGTACCCTCTTCGTCCTGTATCAAAGAGGGGAGTTCAATTTAAGAGGGTCGAGGGCCTTTGTCATACGACCCTCTTACATCGGAAACACGAGTGTATTTAAATAGTACAACGCTCCAGTCTCTGTTTTCGGTATCGTCCCGGCTGGCGTAAAGACGTAGAATCATCGTTGAGTGCAACCATGTGGGTGGTCTTGTTGTTGTTGACTCTGTCGTTGTTGTTTTACATTCGAAACCGGTCTCTTTCGCTAGTACCTTCTAGCATCCACGCCGGTTGAAAGTTATTGTCGTTGTGTTCAGATTAGGAACCGTTTCGTTCTTTCGCTCAGCACCTTTAAGCATCCGTACCGGTCCAACTGACCTAGAATACTCGGGAAGGTGTTGACGTGGCGTAGAATGCTCGTTGGTGAGCGTGTATGGCGAGTAAAATGCCCACTAACATGTGGTAAGCATTTGCTCTTGCGGTAGTATTCATACCGTTGTGTTTGGACGTTACTTTTTTTTTCTATTTCGATATCCGATAAACGAGAGGACTGTACAAACAGAGCGTCTACATCCGGGTGTTGTCTGGTTGTGTAGTCCTTGTGTCGTGTGAGAGCTTGCCCGTAGATGACAGAAGACGTCACACCCCCTGGACCGATTTTCAAAGCCCGCTTACTCTACAGGAGAGGAGAGTGGCGGCGCCGAATGGCGGCGTTGGAACAATCTATCTCTCCGGACGCTTTCCGATAACGCATCGTTCGATTTGACGTACGTCCTCTTTGTGTTGCGTTATCAGGCTTTGAAAACCGGTCCAAGGGAAAAACCGGTCTAGGGTGGACGGTATCTTCCGTACGCAACCTACGGTAGGCGTAACGGGTGGGCCACGTTGAGGTTAGGATACGCGGCAGAATGTCCGCTCGACTAGTCCGTCCATGCGAACGAGGAGACAGGTGCAAATAGTCTCGTGTGGTTCATTGATGAGAACTCATTCCTTATGCTGATGATTTTTGCGGGAATTCTCTCGTGACACGACGGCTTCCTTGTGAAGCCAGTCGAGGCCAGGGCTACCCCCGGCCTACTTTTGTACGGACCGAGTTCTCCACGACTCAGGAGATGCGCGAATCAAACGAGACGTATCGTAAGAGGCTGAGAGATGGCACCGATTTTCAGAGCTCAAAAGACTTCACAGCCAATATTGTGCCAACAGCAAAAGGTGGAGGTCTTGGAATCATCTAGTTAATGGCGTTACGTAGACTTATCGGGCTGCTTCCGCACCCCGGTTGTGGGGCAATCGAGCTTTGAAATCCGATCTTGGGGGGGTGCCGTCTCTCCGCCGCTTACGGTATTCGGACAACTCCCGAACAGACTGGTCCCACACCGTCATCTGTCAGCCCCCTCCACGCTGATTCCTGTGGAGTCGAGCAATCAAGTTTTGGACATCGCTCAAGGGAGAGCGATATTTTATGTCATCACTCACGGCATTCACTGGAGAACATCGGCTGGTCCGTTCTTCCATAGGTCCGTCCATGCGTTTGCAGAGAAGAACGGTGAGTGACCACCCTCCCAGTGGTGCACCCTTTTCAAGAGGATGTTGTCTCAAGTGGGACGCCGGGGCTCGGCGTAGGTGGGGGATTGCCGCGGTGGCATCAATTAACTATTCCATAGAACATGGCCTACTTGCGCCATATACACGTGTGTAAGCTTTTCCAGCTTGCGGTAATAACAAACGCCGATTTTCAAAAATATACACTTCGAAGTCTTCTTTTTTTCCGTCACCACGCGTGGCACGGATCGATTTCGTCGGATCACTCAAAGGGTTTCCAATCTTACCAGGTTTTCACATGCTATGTAAGAACCTGACGCTCCGCTCGTCGGACACACGAGTGTTCAATTAAAACAGGTGTTCAGTCGTTCCCTTCGAAAACCACACCATTCGAGTTTGTATCTAGGTGTTCGCTTCCCCGTACTGGGTAAGCCCAAGCCCGAACCACACCGTAAGACTAGCTGTACATGGCCTCGACCGTGCCTCTGGCATTAATCCGCCCTACATGACCACGGTATGATTCCTCTTTCCTGTCACATCCTACCGTGCTATCTATATTTCCGACAAACGGAACGTCCCGGGATACCGTTTGAATATCGGTGCTCCGACTCAGGAACAGCAGGCCACCGCTCGACCCGCAGCCGTCTTTCCGGCGTTCGGGTTTCCAATCGTGTTCAAGCCTCGCATTCGGACGTGGGAACGCTCGCCATCGTCCCCTTCCCCCTGGCGGACGTTTCAACGGCTTCTTCCCTTTGACTGAACTGGTTTCCCTGCCCGAAATCACACCCTCCTTATCATCAGCGGATGGGGCACTCGCCGTCTTGATCCTCTTATCCTTCTTGTACACGGTCCAATCCTGTCGCCCAGGTTTCCATTTGCAATTACGCGTTGTCCTCCGTAGCGGAGACGCTCGTTTCCCCCTGGCTGGGGTTCCAACTGTAATCCGTTGCGGGGACGCCGCTGCGGGGACGCACGACGTCGTCCCCGGCGTCAGCAACTCGGGGGAAGTCACAGACTGTATTCTATGCCACGGGTCTGGGATGGAACCCACCTGCTCAGTGACGTGCTTAAGCATCACCTGCCGGGGAAAGACAGTTTTGTGGGAAAAAACTAGCCAACTTCGGCTCTATACTGTGCATAGAAGATTTCAATAAGTTCCCGACAAAGAAGCCATGATATCCGTGTGGTCGACACAAGGAAGTGTGCGAAATCGTTGAGCCATGAAAAGGGCCCAACGCAATGCGTCGTCCTACATGGTTGCCCTACCCCGCCTGACCTACGTTGGACGATTAAACAACGCGATAACCCCAATATACACACCGCAAACACAACAACAGACAAGGAATTCGCGACTCTTGTCATTATTTCGTGCAATGGCTCCCTCCTTCCTTCGCTTTCACATTCCTTCCAGAAAAAGGAGACAGAAACAAGAAGACATGATTTTGACTTGGAGAACAACAACAACAGTAACACGGCTTCTCTAGGCCCCGAATCGCCGGAGCAGGTGAACTCGTCCACCAGCTGGCCCGAACAGTAAAGAAGCACCGTCGGCGTCGCGTCGATGTCCAGCATGTTCTAAACCTTTCAAGACACAAGATCGAAGACATTTTTCCTCTAGTAACATTCTTCAAGGGCGAAGACACTTGAAAGAGGACGCGAAAGTCCAGAACTTTTACACCTTTCAAGGCGAGACCGAGTCGTGTTGCTGCCGAACCTTGTTCTTCCAGCTTCGAGAGACTTTTCGGGTTGATACGAATAACGAAGACACGCCGGTCTATGAGGGCCACCCACTCCAATTGATGTCTTCCTCAGGTGTGTGGCCCCGATTGGTGCGTTCAAACGTGTACCGAAAAGCGGTATACAGACTGGAGCGCAGAAACGATGGGAAGAATGTTAAGACTCTGGGGTGAAACACATGCCGAAGGTCCACATTCTTGGGAGGACGTGAAGCTAGGAGCCCCCCTTGCTCAAACCGGTTGCTCTTCGCAGACTACGACGACGAAATTGCCTCCACAATGATTTTCAGACATGAATCAAGTTCAGGGGTTTCCCTACAGCAAGGTCCGATTGGAGTCTGCGGTTTGCACTGGGTAGCTAGCTGCCATTGTTCTTCCCAAGGCTGGCCTGAATACATCGCGCGACGACACCAATTAATCACATTGTCGTGGAAATTACCCCCGAGTTGGCGTTCAAGTCGATCTAGCGAAAACCATGGCTCCTGACCTGGCCAGGGCATACGCCTCTGCGAACACCCGAAGACGACGTCGAAGCTGAGAAGTCACCCCGTCCACACCAACAGAGAGAAAGGTAGACAGACCGAGACAATTAGATAGGGAGCGACAGGGAGAGACGGGAGGAAGGGAGAGAGAGAGAGAGAGAGAGAGAGAGAGAGAGAGAGAGAGAGAGAGAGAGAGAGAGAGAGAGAGAGAGAGAGAGGCAGAGAGATAGGAGGGAAAGAGAGACAGACAGGCAGAGGGAGAGAGAGACAGACAGACAGAGAGAAAAATTCAGAGAGATAGAGAGAGAGAAATAGAGAGAGAGACAGGGGGTTCCACGACTGTCTGACTTCGGCAAAACTGTGCCAATTGTGCGACCTCGCCCACATAAAAACCCCAATAGTGGTGAGCAACGCCTCCAAAACATTCTACGCAAGCATAAAGAGTACAACGAAGTCCACGGTGTAGCGGCACCGACGACTACGGTTCAATATCGCGTGGACTTACTACGTCCACGCTGTGGGTGTTTGGAAGGGCTTACGGTAACCGTGCCGAATCGATTCCATGGTCTAAAACAATCCAGCAGCAACCAACGCCAACACCACCACCACGACGACCAACAGCAACAACAATGTATTCATCACCTACAGATACATCTTTCAGGTCCTCTTCGATCTTGCCGAAACCGGTGGTTCGAGCGAAGTGTCGTTTCAAGCTGTCACAACTGCCTCTACGACTATGTACAGTCGGCGTCTGGTCGATACGAAAGTCGAAGGTGGGCATGATGAAGGTCGACCCGTCCTGCGTCGTCGGTGTAAAATGATAAATGCGAAAGATGGACTGCGTAAAGATCCAGCGGTCTTCTCGGTACTGTAGTGCCAAAGAAAAATGCAACCATGTCGCTGAGCTGGATAATAAATAGAACACCGCATCCTCTGTTGTTGCAGGCAGGTTTGCTTCCACAACCAACCCGGGAACCCAACCCACTCTTGTCTTTTGGCCTACAAGACTCCAATCGACGCAAGCACCGGTAGGAGAGTGCGTGGAAGATGCCGTGACAGCACAACTCCATTCTCCTACGACATCTATGTACAGTAGTACTGTTGTCGTTGCAGCACCATGTGGAAGATCTCCGAGGGGTCCTCCTGCGCGGTAACGACAACATGGCGAGAGCCCTACGACATCTATGTACAGTTGTACTGTTGTCGTTGCAGCACCATGTGGAAGATCTCCGAGGGGTCCTCCTGCGCGGTAACGACAACATGGCGAGAGCTCTCTGCGTGTACCTGTCGTCGACACACGTGGCAGCCGCACGACACACGCATTGTAGTACAGAGATTCACGCAAACAACCACTCGGTCGGGGTAACTCACCGGGTCAGGGAGAAACCGGTAACGATGATGGGGCAGGAACCAGCCAACCTATACGTTACACGTAGCAAGCAGGTATTGGGCGGGTGGGTTACCCTTCTCAGCTACTTATCGCGTGTTCGATCTTCTGTGAGTCCGGCAAAAAGTTGTACTGGCGATTGTTGCACAGCAGTGCCAAGTGCGTACATTATCACCACCCCGTGTGCATGTGCGTATGCAGATGATGGTGGAAACCCTTTCCTTGCGGAAAAATAGCCGTGATGGCTCTTTGGAGGTCTATTTACACTCTGTTGTTAGTGACTCTTTAGGACTAACCGATGTTGCACTTTGCAAGGCTAGGTTCCTCACGCGAGCAAGGCTAGGTTCCTCACCCCACATCTACCCTAACCCTAACCCTAACCCTAACCCTAACCCTCACCCACGGCCAAAGCACGGCCTAGCGGCCGCGAACTGGTAAAAGCCGTTAGATAGGAAGAGTCACTAACAGACTGCAAAAACTACTGGCTCTTTGCTAATCTTTCTGCTTGCGGGCTTCTTTTCCGCTTCTGCGTGTGCCACAACAAACGCACACAACCCGCCAATCCCGCACACTACCCACAACTTCACGGTCCTGCATCGCGCCTCACTACGATTCGTTCCCCCCCCATCCCGGCCACCACAACGGACAGCCGAACAGGTGAGTCGGATGTCTGATACGTAAAGTCCGAGAACATGAAACCACCACGATTCAGACTCGTGCTGCTTGTGGGTCCGGTGGTCCGGTGCAGCAAATGTCTGCTTTGGTTGAAGCGCAATCATAATATTTCCATCCCAGCTGCGCTCGGTCACACAACAGCATCAGCAGTGGCTGAGTGGTCCAGTGGGCAACACGTTCTAACGTTTGGGGGCGTGGGTTCGAATCTCGCGCGGTCAGTTGCGCGAACTTGGAATTTTGCAACACACATTCACAGCAACAACAACTTTCGGGTTTTCTTGCGTGCAAACTATCTATGCAGTCGTTTGCATACTGCTGCTGCTGGCTCCTGCTTGGATGTATGCGCTTCTTACATACATAATCTACATGTTTGTACGACCTTCGGAACAACTGGACGCCCCGCAGAAAATATTGTACCCAGCCGGTTTCCCTCTACTATTCACTGTAAAGACTAACGAACACATCCCGTTCGACTGTCACGTCAATATTATTGTATCTCGAATGGGTACAAGTCTTTCTGCGTTTGTATTTATTTATGTTTCCTAATCAAACATGAAAGATTTACTAACAAGGACTCGGAGTGACTGATGCAAGAACATGCAAGCAGCAAACAATGATCACTGCTGCTGTGGGAAAAGAACAGAAGTTGTTGTTTGTTTCTTCACTACATAGAAAAACCGTTCCGGTCTCCGCTCAGTACCTCCCAATGTCCGTACTGACTGGTCCAACTGACGCGGCCGCCTTCGGTGGTCGCAAGGCAACGTACGATACGTACTGTAGATATGCACAGACTGCCTGTCTGCGTGTTGTTGTTGTTGTTGTTGTTGTTGTTGTTGTTGTTCTGTCTGACGTTTTTGTTGCGTGGCCCATCAGTCACAGCTAGCTGTTGTCCAGACACACAACACACATCATAAGAAATATACAGCTGTCGCTGACGTTTTGGGTTGAAGCTGACGTCTTTTGCCGGGCCGCTGATCACAGAATAATAAAAACACACACACAGAGAAAGACTACCCATTCGAGATATACCCACAGTCGAACGGGATGTGGTGGAGTCTTTTCAGTGAGTGGAGGGAAACCGGCTGGCTGGGTACTGGACTTTTTTCGAGTCTTTTTAAGTCTATACACTGATGATTTATACCAGTGATGCCAGCTGGTGCTAAGTACAAGAACATCTGTATAGGTAACTTACATTTTACAATACATCCCCTGTAGTTCTCTACTGGGTCAACGACAAAATATCGGGGAGAATCCCTCCGTTGTGTCGTGTATTATTGTAAAATGTAACCTTCACAGGGGACAAGGCGCAGTGTCTATTGACAGCTTGCTGGTTTTTAGACATATATATATTAGGAATAATATTGTAAAAACTCATGGAAGGTGGAACGAAGTCTACAGCAGTACATCACCAGCCCTATATCACTCGTTTTTCAAATCTACAGATTTTTGAATTTCACGGACAGCAGGTGTTTCCCGCCGTTTTTTTAAATTTACAAATTGTTTTTGATCCTTTGGGGTGACGTATCAGTGATGTTTTATACAGCAGTAGATGAGAATGGTATACCTGGTGCATGGTAGGTAGGGCATACCATTCAGGTTGTTGTATCATGTTAGTTTGTTTCTTGTTATTTTGTTGGGTGTTGGTAAACACCATCAGTAGAGCATGGAAAGTTTTCAAATGATTTACATCCAATGTGGTAACTAGATTGCTACATTGTGATATTTATTGTGTTTGGCACTGACGTCTTCTACCGAACTGTTCAAACCGAAGCCAATCAAGACGATGTACGTACGTACGTACGTAGTTCACAGTCTTCTCGCAGAGCCCAACGAAAGTGAAGGTTCTTCGCTTCCTGGGGAAGGTATACAACAACAAGTACATTTTCAGTGCATTTTTTCGTACAACAACTACATCATCCAAGGCCACACACCGGGGATATTTTCTTCTTTTTTCTATTTTCTGATTATGACCCAACGAATCCATCTCGATCTAGGAAAAAGAGTCTAAGATAGATTAGCAATGAATTCATATTGTCAGAGAAAGCTACCTGTATTTCCACGGTTGGTTTCCCGATATCTCCCCTATGGGTAACAGGCTCAATAAGACAGTTTGGTAGCCGTCTTCTTATTTTTTTTCGAGCCCACCTTCCTCCTGCGGGGCTGAATTATTATTGTTTATCACGAGAAGGGTCCAGCCGTCCCCTTCTTTCGTCAACGGTGCTAACGTCGACGTTTGGTATACTCACGAGCTTGTAAGCTTTTTCGCTTTCCACCCTCAACAAAATTTGTAAATTTGTAAATTTGTCACCCCATGGGGATTCGAATTAACTCATGGCTTTGCCACACTGCATTGCTTCGAGGTGCCGCTAGACCACCAAGGCGACCGATTATTGTCTAGCATTAATAGTTGGTATCATCCTCGCGATATTCTGGAATAGTGGCCAGGTCAGGGGTTCGAATCCCGGCGTAATCCAACTTGCACACACAGCAGTAGTGAGTCCTCTCGCCCCGTTGCTACACACTTAGTATGTGGGAAGCCCTACTTCTGCGTGCTGTAGTTCTGGTGTGTACACTGAGAGAAGGGAGTGTGCTGCACTCTTTTAGCATTTAGAATCGAACGCAACCACCGCAGGAAGTGCAAGCTCACACACTACTGGCAGTTTTTCTACACCGCGCCCATGGGATACGCATGGGTCGCCGCCCACTGAATGGGTACTTCGACCTAGAACGAACGTAGCCACCTGCACATCATCCTAGAACTTAGCCACCCGCGCCGAAGTAATACGTATCGTGTGGGGTTAGTGTTACGGTTAGCGTTAGGGTTATTAGTCGCTATGGTGCCCGTCCCAACGCAGATGATCTAGCTATTGTTTAAGAGTAGACTGGTTCGGTTGAAGGGTTCTCATTGGCCGCCCATGGGCTTCACATGACATGCTCATGGGCCGCCCATGGGCTTCACGTGACATGTTTATGGGCCGCCCATGGCTGCCCACGGTCTACCCATGAGCACACCCGTGGGTCACCCATGGAAGTCCCATGGGTCGTTCGGGAAAACTGCAGAAAGTGTGGGAGACCCAGGAGGTGTGGGGTAAGGGGGCTCAGGGCGAGGACCGCTTTTGCGTTACCACCGATTGGAGTTCCGACCCGCCCGGCAGAGATGCTGTGAGCAATGATTGAGAGTGATGAAAACACGAAAATGCTGACTATGAAGTAGCCGGAAACGGTTTAAGTTGCTGAAGATTGCCCCGGTTGCCGCCTATCGTACAGCAGTTACGCACCCCACCTCCAACCTCCAAATATCTGAAGCATGGATTCCTGTTCAGCTGCCTCAGATTATCAGCGGAAACACAAGGAAGACACCAACAGCAGATGATCCAACAACACAGGCACGGCAGGATACAGACATCGTCCAAGCCTCATGTTATACCACTGGACAACATTTTTGTCGCTGCAATAGAGTCCTTCCCCCTTCCTCACGTTCATTCCACAACTGGAGTACATACCTCACACCTAGACTTCATGTCACATGAAAGAAGAGGCCGTATTTTTTTCGACGGAGGGCTCTCACGCTTCTTTTCTTCTGGTGACGCTTCAGACTTCTCAATTGCTGTACTGTGTGCATGCCCGTTCGCACTGCCCCTAAACGTGAGGGGTTTACCCCGTGTAGTGTGGGTCGTCCCGTGTACATAGTTCGCACGGTCGTATCCCTTAGTGCCGTAGCTCGTGTAGTCTCATGAGCGAACCATCAAACATCATTAGGTCGTTCATTGACACCTACTGCGGTCACACGACCACGTGAATCGGTATCGATTTTTTGGGTGTGGGTCATCCATTACTTGTGCTGCCAGAGCGCGCGTGAGCTCCAATAATTTAACAACAAGCTACGCACACCGCGCACGTGTCCGAAAGGTAACATTATTTTCCATCCCCGTCGCCATGCCATGCCATGTGTTATCCTTTCACGATACAGTGTCGTGCGGAGGGAGCAAACAGGAGAGAGCGACAGCAAGCATCATTCATATCTGGTGAGGCGCCTAGGGTGTGAAAGCTTGTGTCATTAATCATTAATGGGAACCCAGCGCAGCGCAAGAAATAGAGTTGGCGGGGTGCTCGGTGTAGGTGATGTTCATGTGCGCGTCTGTGTGTATTGTTGGCTCCACCCCGCGTGCCCAGAACTCTATGTGAAAGAAGTCTCACAGACAAGTTGCAGCAACCCGTTTCCGTGCAACCACGATGCCCCCATGCCACATTTCCTTCCGATTTTCAAACGACGCTGGTGGCTACAAGAATGCGCGAGAGACTCGCCATGAACTTTATGATGTTAGCCAATCAGATGTGTAGGCGATAGAGCAAGCCAATCAGGAATTGGGATGTATGGTTTTCGTTCCAATGGCCACTGCTGTATACTGGCACATGTCCAGTTTTGTAAAGTTTCGTTATGTTGTTTTGACGTGTTCGTCCTTGGCTCGCTTGCCCATGCAAACCTGAATATATATTCAGAAACCGCCCATCAATTACTCTGTTTCCCGATCGATGGGTGGGGTTCCCTGACTGCTGACATTTTTTAGTTGCTGTGGTTGCCCACATCGATCACGAGTTGAAGAGCGTCAACATCTCATCTCACAGTCGGCAGCACACGCACGTGCCTCGTTATTTCCCCGTTTTCCGCTCAGCTACCGTCAGGGGTGCTAAAGGAGACCTGGTGGAGCCAACGAGACGTGTGCAGACTTCGAGAATACCCGAAAAACAGCATCCAGATGGCGGAAATGGCGACGACCCTGTTGCCCATGGCATGGGATGCCTCGAAAAAAGCCTACAATCTAGCGAAATCCAACAATATTGATGGATGGAGCTTTCCCGGCAACCCTAAACGCGCCCGCAAGATCCTGGTGGCAGGGCTCGCTGGGAGCGGAAAGACAAGCGTGATAAACTCTCTCACAGGTATCTCATATGGTCAAACACCGCTTGAACACCTGTAGACTAGTCCCGTATTGAGAAATGCTTACAAAGTCGATAGAAACGGCGTTTGTTTGGAAGGCAGCTCTCGCCCGAGACGCCATGATACGAAGGTGTTCGGTGGCAAGAACGAAACGCCTAGTCTGTCATTCAGCAAGTTTCTTTCATGCGAAAGACTAGAAGTACTGTTCCCGTACCCTTGAAGTCTAAGACTCCCGTACAATTTCCGCAACCAAAACTAGGGCTGAACCTGGAGACCGGAGACAGCTCCCAAGGGGTCACCTTCCAGTGCTCTGCTGTACCTGAACGCATCTACCGCAAGGATGTTAGGTAACGGTATCTACTTGGTTGTCTAGTCGGTTTGGCACGGTGTGGTGGTTTTCCTGTATTGCGCTTCCAGAGTGTAAACTAACGAGGCGAGAAAGTAGTGGCGACGTACGTAAACGTGAGGGTATGTATGCACAATCTCGCACACCACCGACAGCAGTTTTGTTAAACCGCCCATGGGCGGGCCCATGGGTGGCCCATGAAGTACCCACGAAGTGCCTACCGTGGGCACTTCAACCTAGAACTCGCCACGGCATATCAACCTAGAACTTAGCCATCGGCACATCAACCTAGAACTTACCCAGCCAGCACCAACCTAGCACGTATCGCGTGGGCTTGGGGTTAGGGTTAGAGTTAGGGTTAGGGTTAGGTTGTTAGCCGTTATTCTGCCCGTTCCAGAGCAGATCATCTATTGTGAAGGAGTACACTGGTTCCGGTTGAAGGGCACTCATTGGCCGCCCATGGGCCCATGGGCACCGCGTGGTGCCCATGGGTCACCCATGGGCGGTGTAACGAAGTGTAGAAAGTGTGGGAGACCCTGTATGTGGTAGCACTACCGTACTGTAGAGGACTACAGCCTATTCGATATTCTGAAGATGCGATGTGAAATTCGCTGTGCCTATTCAACGATCGGTGGAACACTTTTATAGTCTATTCTTGCGTCCTCTCGTGGAAGAACAAACGGTTTTTTTACATATCTGGTTCCGAAATAAGACTGCCGGTGCAACACAGCAAGGTGTTCTTTCCATCATCCAACACCCCCCGGTAACATATTTGTGTCATGCCTTCTTTGTTTGGGGGTATTTTCGGGCAGTGGCGAGCCAGTCAAACTGGTCTTCATGGACACCGTGGGTTTCGACTCCGGGCCGGGAGGAGCCTTGGGTGATGGAGCACTTCACAGGTATACTGCCTCGCACGCCCACTGGTCGTCGCGACGTTTCCCGTTGGCGTTGTTGACTCAGGGGAATCAGTGTTGCCCTGGGAGAGAGCTTTCCCGACAGAACTTGGTGTCGACCCGCTCGTGAGCGAGGTTTTCGACCGCAGCACCATGAGATGTTATGCCTATCCCATGAAGCACGTCTCTTACCTCTGTGCACCCGGCACTCTGCAGAATACGTGCTCCCTCATGACGCACATGGGCGCAGGCCTTCCTTGCGGAAATGGGCTCGAAACTCCTGATATCCAGAACCCAGCTCCGTGGCAACCATGTTCATACGTGTATTCTTTGTGTGATGCCTTGGTCACTCGTAGGAATTTGATGATGATGATTGCCCATTTTTCAGGGACATGGCGTTCACTAGCATGATGAAGCTCCTGCGCGCGACGTCTGAGCTGGACGTCATCATCTACGTCATGGAGAAGGGCCGCCTCACCACGGGGGACATGACTTGCTACGAACTGCTCGTAAAGAAGGTCGCGCACGGTCTCCGTCGCTCGGATGGAGTCATCGGTAAGAAGACGCAGTCAAGTTGCCGGTTGGTTGTAGCTCTTCCCCAATATCGAGGGTTACACTATGTGATTTGGGCTGGGTGATACCGGGTTGGTTTTGGACAGTATGTGTGGAGAGGGCGGACGGGGTCGGTCGCCCGCACGCTGAAAGCACATGAGCCACACGGAATCGGGTGGAAATGGGCATTTTGGCTGCTGGCATCACGACAACCGCAACTCTACCACAGTACCACTACTTTTTGCGCCCTTGTTGTTTTTCGTTTTCCGCAAACCGTGCGGGCGTGAACATGTGTGCCCGAGTACGGCCGTTTACATTTGTCGAGTTCACACGCAGCTGACCGCAAAACTTTCTCCTAGTCACGGCGCGCAGAGATACAGCGCATCCCATGCCCTAACAACTCCCACTCCTATGCTGCGCCCCCAACTATTTTCGCCCCACGTAACCAGACCAAAAGATCCCAGTTATCCTGGTGGTCACGAAGTGCGAGACCCGTCCTTCTACCAACCTGCAGAGTTGGCTAGGGCAAAGGGCTGCGAGTGTCCCCGTACCGGGGGTGGACATGGTGGTAAACGGCACCAACCATCAGGTCGGGCATGTTTAGATGGTCGCGAGCTTCATTTGCAAAAAAACTAGGACTCTATGCAGGTGTCCAATCACGTGCAACCCCTGGAATATACGCCTCCGGCGCTCCGCTCCCTCTCGGGCAGGTGTGGGAGGCGTTTACTGCCGTCTTCATTTTGCTATTATAGACTCCGTGCGTTACCCTATTGCTGAACCACTTGAACCAGGTCCTAAACAATGCGGGCATGGACACCTCAAGAATACTCTGCGCAGCGTTCTTCGGGGATGACCATTTCGCCGCGGGGTCGCCGGACGGTATCGCCTGCCGCAACGATTCAGTGCGCAGCCTACTGAAGTTAATCGTGGGGTGTTCGGACGACGGGCCCTTCCTTGCGGCTCATCCCGGAAATTTCTTCCGGGAGACTAACGTGTTTAGGTACATGTTGAGCCCGTCGTATCGCAAGAACAACAAGGACAAATTCTTAAAGTACCTCAAAGGAGTTTTCCCGAGGGACGACGCTGAGAAGATTTTCGCCCAAGTGATTGATTACAAGAAGTAGCTTGTGTTCCCATGACGACAGGCGAATTGGACGGCGAATGGCGCCCCGTGCGGCGTGCGTACGCCACGTTCATGCCTACCCTTAAATACGATACTCGTAGGACATATGCGAGCACGTTTGTTGGAAATTTACTGCAGACAGTTGTAATTTCATCGTGCTCGTGACCTCTCGTAGCGGACGCTTGTTGCGTGAGCCAGCCGTCTTGCTGTGTCACATGCAGGTGGTGGGATTATCTAGCAAGCGTGATATACTAACTCATGTGCGTTTTGTTTCGTGGAAATATTCTTGCGTTGCACGTAGCGCTGTTATACCACTTTTGAGCTTCTGAGCGCAATGTTGACATTTCCCCCCCCATTATGCGGACGCCAGCACTTTGCGTGTTTAAGCGTGCTATTGATGTTTGACCCTGCCCCCCCCTCTACATTTAGCGTGTCGTATTTCAGCATCCACCTTAATGATCGCAGCACGTTTGTCGCTTTCTCGGACCGTTCGCGGAGCCCGGTTTATAGCAGCTCGTGCCTTCTGGCCTGCTCCCGCCGCGCCGCTGCCTCTTAGCTATTGAAGAATGCTTGTGCATATTTGTTTTTGTTCTGTCGAGCGCCATGTGCTTTTCTTACGTATTACGGGTCCTGTCGTTCTTTGCGACCGTGTTGCAATCGATAGAGCTCTCTTTCGGCCTTTGCTTCGCCTTCCTGCCGGTCTTGTCACCAGGTGCTTGTTGATCGTTGGTTGCTGTTGTTTGCACTGTTTTGTTTCGTTTCGGTCGCTCACTTCTGCCTGCCGTAGTCTACACGTGCTTTGAAGCTGCCTTTCTTCTGGCCAAGAGCGTTGCTCTCTGGCTCTCTGCATAGAGGCATGGGAAAGGCGTGTGAGGCTTGGTATCCTCGTTTCAACGGTAGATTTAATCCTGCAGATGCGTTGCTGCCTCCCCCTCTTCGGATTCTAGCCTTTGCGTAGACGTCCACTCAGGGTGGGCTGGTGTTGTGGTATTAGGACCGTTGGACCAAGATACCATCTGCCATGACCCCCTGTATTCGAGTTTATGCAAGCAGCGGAACAGTTGTTGTTATTGCTGCATCAAGCAGCAGTTTACGTATGGGTTCACCTTCTTGCTCAGTGTTGCCTACGAGTGAGCGGTATCGAGCGACTGAGAGAAAGACAATGAAAGGAAACTGGAGCGAAACGGAGCGGCTAACCTGCATACAGTAGTGGTCCGATCCGCTCCATACTGATATCGCGAGTCCTGAGGCACCCGAAGCGAGGGACGCTCTTCGTTTCAATATATTGTAGACTGCGGTCTATGTGCAGTATCACAGAAATACTACTGCCCGTTCAAGATAATTCCTCAGTCGAAGGGGATGATAAGCTCATTGCGGTGACTCTTCTTCCACCGGCCACGTTGTTGCCGTGACAGGAACAATAGGAGTAATAATAACCCGCACCAAAGCGCAACGCAACTCGTGGCAGGAACGGCAGGAGGAATAACCTTCCGCCCCAACAAGAGAACAACAAACCACAACTACTTCTCTCCCGCCCTTCCAGCAGGACAACTCAATGCCATCGGAAGTACCAACCAATCGTTGCGAACGCGAAGGCATACAGCAAATCGCTCTTCGTTTGGTGGCTCGAGATCGAGCAATAGACAGACCGGTGGCGCGCGAACCGTCGAATCGTGTACCACGTTCTACAGTAGAAGTCCTGCAGAGATACCCGCACACGCACCCAAGACAACGACCACCTCGTGCACGGCGAAGAGAGTAGCTTGCCCAGAACGACGCCTGCTTGCCATGGAGGGCACCATTTACAGATCGACGCTCGCCCGTGACAACACGTAGGAGGACCAACTACTGCCTGCACAAGATGGCCCGCAGATTCATTTTGGGGCGCGAGTGTACGATCGAAGATGCGGGAAGAAACCACATGCAGAGCGGGCACGGCTGCAAGGACCATCCGTTAGCAAATAGAGGCTCAAAGTTTCATGAACTGCTGAAGAAAATAGGGTTAAGAAACACACCCTACACTAAGCCCTACCGAAAATACAACCTGTACTTGACGGCGGCGAAATACAAAATGTTCCAAGAACCCAATTCGACACCTCTTATCTACTTCTCTACTGGGGGGCCCGTGCTGGGATCGATAATGTGTGCGACTCTCGTGGCTGCCCTAGAGTAGCCACGGCAAAGGTGAAGGTGAAGAATAGATGATGAACACACGTCAGGCGGCACTTCCTCCCTGGCATTTCGACAATCAATCAAGAGTTCCGTTTCGCCCGGCACGCCTCGATCTGGTCCGAAACGCTTCGGGTATTGGCCAGTACAAACTCCTGTGTAGTTTGCACAACAACAAACAACGGGGAGAGGGTAGAGACCAACCGCTCAGGACAACGAAAAGGGAAGAAAAGTCAAAACAGTTTCTTCGCTTTCTTCTGTACTGCTGTTGTACACATGCACCTCCGTACCTCTGTAGTTTCTTGCGGTGAGGGCTTCAAGGACAGACTCACCCAGCAGGTTGTCGCTCACAGTCACGGAACAAAACTCGCTGAAAACCTACGTCACATTGAGAGGCGACCATGAGCGCTTGCTCGTCGGATTCATGACAACACCATCGGTACGCGCAGCAGCGCCGCATCATCATCACAACTACACTGCCACCACGAACAATCAACGAGTTCTCTGTTAGAGGATGGGCATGCTTGGCTGCGGCAGGAAAGCTGCGTTTCCAATCACCTACCCTCACGGCAAAATACCCACTACTCTCGGCACTACGGACGGAGCTGACGGTGACGCTGTACGTGTAGCGCAATGGTCGATGGATCTGTGCCGGTGTGTGCGCGTTCGACGCGACCCTTCGCCAATGCCATGCCGGCGCATACGCATGCTCGCTATACCGGTGGCCTCGCCAACCGAACATGCTCCAATCATATCTGCGACCCCCAGACCGCACCTCCGACGGGTAAACCGCGGCTGAGCGAGCAAGAAGACCGCCACAAAACACACAACCTTTTGAACAGCTTTCCGTTTCTTCGCCGCCGTGAGACTGGCGTATTTTTCATTGGCCAGCCGATGAGCTTGGGCGATGCTACAGTAAAAAATCTCGGATTTGAGACGCATCTAGATTTCGGAACGAAATCGGGAAGAGTCAGATATTCCAGAAAGGATGTTGGAAAATGACCCCACCTAGTTTAGTCCCCCTTTTCTCTCCCGAAATACGCCGGAGCAGAGAAGAAGGTGTATATTTGAGACCATTTCACCCGCCCTACACAATGCTTACTATATTCATGAACTTGCTAATCATTCAAACACTTTGGGCCTGGGTAAAAGGGATACTTGTGGCGAGGCCCTCCTGCAGGTGCAGGAGGCCTCACCCAACCAAATCCAATACTTACATCGAATGATCTGGGTAAGGGATAAGAATACAGCAGGATCCGGCTGCGAGAGCCGCTTCAACCAGCCACTCGAAAGTATCAGTATGCCTCCTAATTTGAAGCAACTTTCGCTAGAAAGCACATTCAACAGGTCCATGGAAGGTGTGACTTTCGTAGATTCCATCGAGGACATTCATCTAGGAGGATTCTTCAACCAGCCAACCGCCGCAGTCCGGTGGCCCAGTAGCTTGCAACGTTTCGCGTTTGGTACGTGCTTTGACCAGCCGTTGACCGGCTATCATTGGCCGGATGCATTGATCGCTCTGACGGCCGGTGATGCGTTCCAGCAGAACCTGCTAGACGTTATCTGGCCTGGTTCGCTGCAGTATCTCACCTTGGGGGGTGCGTGGAACGGGGGGCTGAGGCCTCTTGTGGTACTCCCTGCCACGCTCAAGGTCCTACGGTTGGGGGGGAGTTTCAACAGCCCAATACAAGGCATGCAGTTGCCTGAGGGGCTGTAGGAGGTGTCGTTCGCCTTAAAATTTATCCAGAAGGTTGATGCCGTTCATTGGCCCAGGAACTTGCATAGAGTTGTGTTCCCGGATGATTTCGACGACATGGTTTCCGTAGAACGCGCTAAGTGGCCGTCCACGCTAGAAGCTTTCGAGTTTGGGTCAGGCTGCGGGTGGCGTGTAAGCGGCACCACTTGGCCTACGAGCCTAAAGACATTGGTGCTTGGGGGTAAGTTCAACACGAAGGTTTACACCTTGCAGTGGCCCGCCTGGATTGGATTCGCTTGCCTTCGGGGGATCATTCAATCACTCTCGAGTCATGTTGGGCTCCTACCCTGAAGGATTGTCGTTTGGCAAACCCTTCCAACAACCACTGTCAGGCGTACGTTGGCCGAGAGCTATAGTCGAACTGAGGTTTGACGGATGTCTACAGGTGACGGTTTTACGTGTGGTTGCATGTGGCCAAGGTCGCTGAAGAGGGTTCAGTTTAGAGATGCATCTTTGACTCGTTGAAAGGATAAACACTTGAAGCGCGCAGTACTATGCGGGGAAATGCCTGGTGGTGGCCAGCTCCATACTTCGTGATGAATGATCGTGGTTTTATAGACCAGGGCACTCGAGCTCGCTCTGGCACGGTGGGGTGAAGAGGTTTATGAATGGCGCCCCGTGCATGTTCCGACGCGGCGTATTCCCTGGTTTTCTTTGTGGGACTTCAGTCGTTCGTGTGTTGTGCCACGTTTGTTTCTCGCAGTTGTTTGGCGTTTTCAATCGAAGTATGGAACGACTTATTACCATCATCGGGTCCTCATGGGTTTTGCTCTCTCGCAGTTGTTTAGTGTTTTCAATCGAAGTATGGAACGACTTACTACCATCAGCGGGTCCTCCAAGGCTATTCTTTGCCACAATGGAAGTAACATCCTTGCGGCTGCCTGCTTATTTTACAGTGAGTGGTCGTTACCTGTTGCCATGTTCTCGTATACCGTGTATCGGCAAGAGCGTCCGCGGGTGTGTTTTCGGTGAGAGGCTTTAAGGTGACGACAACCGCGTACGTACATGACCATTTTTGCACGGCCTTCCCAGGTTTCTATTGGTGGCGTCCAGCTTGGTATGTCGACAGTACTCCCATTTTCGTCGTGAGACGTATACGTCACTTTTCATTGTACGCAGAGTAATAAAATGTACACTTTCAGTATCGTTTTTCCGTACAACTACAACCATCCAAGGCTACACAGGAGGGGGTTAACACCGGTGTGTGGACAAGAAATCCAATCCTTGTCGGCAGCTCCTGCGTACGGCAACGAACAGCACGTATTACAAGTAATTTAGCTTTCGATGTCCCTTGTAAGTACCAAAGCACGTGGTTCAGCCTTGTAGCCGGTCACGAGGAAAACTTGACCCACAGCTTCACGCACGAGGTGTTGCGACACGTCATTCCATGTACACTGTTCGTGGCTGCCAACCTCCGTGAAAGGTTGTGCCAGCGGACTCCCGCCTCTTCTTGCACGAGGACGACGACAAGAGTGCCCAGGACAACAAAAGCAATCTTTGGGAAGATGTGGCGCATAGAACCCTCCGTTGACAAGGCCCCTCACGCATACAAGGCCCTTCTACCACGAGCGTTACCATATTTTTTGCTCGTTTTATCGAAAGAACACACCACACTTTTATTCCATTCGCCGTACACTGCGACACAACCCCAAACAATCACACATATGATCTACGTTATTACCAAAGTTGGGTGCACACGCTCAGCCTAGTTGAACTGCTGCGCAGCGTATCACCGTGCCCGCCGCAAAGTCTAAAAGGCCAACGGTGCTGTCGATGGACTCTGCGGTGACGCTTGGGGCGGCAGCAGCAATGGAATCAGCATGATGTACAAGTTATGGCCATGAACACAAAAGCGGAGATTCGAGTTATTCGCTGTTGGTACGTACACCAAGGCTGTAAACTGCGACCGGGGCGGCAACTCACGGGCGCTAACCCTCACGCACCCCCGATACCCCTTCGCTGGGGGGAACGCGACCCCGACCATAATGCCATCTGACTAGAGTAGCGTTTCCGGCTACCTGCCCTTGGTAGCTGATGACCTTCCGCTTGAAATACGTGCTCTGGGATCTTTACACTTCGTATATAGACATTTCCTCCGTCAGTTATGCCTTCAAATATGTTGCTATGTGATGGATCATCGCCTTTCTTTGTCATGGGCGGTAAGCATAGCGCAGGTATGCATCCAGTTTACGCGAGGTTGAACGGTAAGGACAGGCGCCGCAGGTGAATGGCTTACGAGTACCAGCCATGCGCAGTGTTGCATCGCGTTACCCGCTGTGTGCCCCCGAGAAAGAGAGTGACTGCCGAGAGGAAGAACATGCCGGGTGTCGAACCCAAAGTGTCCACAACCAGGAGTACGTATGCATACATCTAACAGAGGGAGTTTTGCAATTTCCACCGTCGTTACCCATAGGTACCCACGCCCCATGGGTACAATGCCCATGGGTACCCATGGGTACACCATGGGTATACCCATGGGCAATGCCCATGGGTAACCCATGGGCAATGCCCATGGGTACCCATGGGCGCGAATAAGGATAATGTACATCACCCCTACATCGCTACATTTCGATCCATCTATGATTGTATTTTCGTATTGTCCTCTCGGTTCCAACGTAGAAACACCATGGAGAACATCTGCTGCTCACTTTGTCGAGAACATGACGAATTCACCAAGTACGCCAAGTGCATGCACGAGGCGCCAACATTCGCATGCACGACACACGGAAAATATTCATGAACATACAGACGAATGTTTGGGTGGTCTGATGGGGCTGTACGCGGTAGTATGTTCACCTTCGTTGGCCATGGCTATCCAACGATAGGGTACGACCATAATATGAGGTGCGCGGGTTCGTGGCCTCGGCGAGCGGGTGAACAACTTGGATGGGGTATATACACATCGGGCTCACCAGGGGGGCTGTCGTCAACCATGGTTAACCATGGAGATAGCCATGGAGATAGCCATGGAGATCTCCATGGCTAACTATGGTCATCATTACGAGGTTAACCATGAAGATAACACGATGGTTAACCATGATGACCATAGTTAACCATGAAGATCTCCATGGATAACCACGGAAGATATCCACGGTTAACCATGGAGACCTCCATGGTTATCCATGGATATAAGTCGATGATGATGTATATGACTGGATAACATATGGTGGTTTGTCTTGGGGATGGCATTCATCATCGGACCTGCCTTGTTCGCTGCAATCGTCTTGCTCAGTCGTGAATTTTGGCTTTGGCGGGTGTTCGTCACTCTGCACTTGGGGATGCTGTTTGAGGCATTGGATTCTTGGAGCAGGTCAACATTGTTGTTGTTGTTGTTGTTTTTCTTCACATTAAACTCGTGTCAGTTGCTAATCCCAAAATCTAGCAAAGACTCGGCCCGTGGTCACAAAAATGCTAAAGCCATCAGAAGATCTAAAGAACACGCACACTATTAGCAAGAAAAGGGTACACAAGCCCGAGGAGGTACACCTACAATCCCTGCAGCACGTTTGCGTGCTCACAACTGAACTACACGCCCACACACTACAATTCAACTACAGCAGGCGGCATCACCCCATACTCACTCCCCAATATTGGCAAGCTTGCGGATGATGGAGCCACTGTATGAGTCGGTCCCGCAGCTGATGCTGCAACTGTATGGCCTGTTGGTTGAAATGGATAATGACGGAACTCGGTGGCTGTCAAGGCGGCTCTTGTCTGTCATGTTCTCATGTTTTTCTCTAGCCTACGCCACGACGGGTTTGATGGCGGAGCAGCCCTTGTCTCGCCTTGCTCCTACGGTCGACACATCGAGCGCGGGTTGTCCTACACTGACAGGGTTTCTTTTCGGGGCCGTCCCGGCAAGTGACAGCAGTGTTGACTTATGCAGATCTAGGTGAAACTCTCAGAACTTTATATGGGCGTTCTTGGTTTACCAAGTGCTTGAGATAGGGGCAAAGTTCCTTTCACTTCTCTCCTGGCGCTAGTATGGCGAGCTTACTTCTTTCTCGAGCTAACCGAGACTCGAACCCGCGCTCTCAACTTCGTGGGCGACCACCTGTGAAAGCTTTTGCTACCGGTTCTTGTACATTAGATTATGCATCGAGACTTGGGCTGCTGGGGAAACGTGTCCTCGTGGACAGAAAATATAACGACGCTTATGCTTCATCATCCATCTGCCTCCTGTACCCAACAGGGCGGCGTTGCAATTCAACTGCCGGGCGTACCGACGACCGGAAAACTATTCCGGAAAGAAACAAAACAATGGAGAGCCATCACAGTGCTGACAACTCATCCCGGGCTCTACCTGTGGAAAGAACCTGAATCGTTGTGTGTGTTATGTCATAGCAAAGAAAAAGGATACTCTACACAGGCGCGGGCTGTCTGAAGAACTTGTAGAGCTTGGCGGCGTTGACATCTCCTAGCAAGGGCCGCAGCTGCTCCTCGGAGAGCTGGCTGAGCTCGGCGATGGTGTCCACTTCTCGGAGTACCTGTGATCACGGACACATATTGCAGATCGGAAGGGCTTGCTCGTGAATTTTTCCGTTCGAGGCATGGGCCATTGCCCATTGCCCGCTTTGGAAGCAGAGCGCCATACACATGGCGGAGGAGCGGTTTCAGGGATTATTCGGGACATGTTCTTAGTCAAGTGTCTAGGGGGATCAAGCACGCATCAGACACAAAATGGGGGTTGAGAAGGGGTGGGGGTGCGGTCCATGGCAGGCAGCAGACCGCGACGGGCGGGCGGTGAGCCGTCCAGACTGCATAGATCGAGAGCTACTCATCTACACAGCACAACTACTGCTGTAGTTTTTTTCGTCCGTTGTGCGCTATTTTCGATCGAAATCGACCTACCTACACCGCACAATTACTGCTGCTTAGATGCATTTTCACTCTAGAGCGACCCGCCTACACAGCACTGATGTCGTACGGAATTATCGCTCTTGACGCCGCACCCAGCCACAAGGAATGTCAAGAGCGCTGACCACAGGAAAGACTTACAGCTGTCCCCATGCATCTCCCAGCCCCCCCTATGTCCGTCGTGCGGTGTACGCGTCTTACGAACAATCATGATTTGTGCAAGCACAGTCTCCTACGTTGGTCGAATACGGAAAAGCGTCGAGCTTCATCCATAGCATAAACAGCGACACACAGATGTGCGTGTGGCCACTCTCGACGGTTTCGAAAGCTCCACGACAAGCGGCTTCTTAACCCCACCTACCAACCCCATCCGTCGGGAAAGGGAGGAACATCTACTACTGCTCGAATGAAAGCAGTCAATCGGTTTCGCACGTTTCGAAAGTTGTACACGCTCACGCCGGGCAGCCTCATCAGCAGCTCTTTGGCGGAGGCGTCGTCCCCTGTCCCCTGGTCATCTTCTCCGCCTCCCCCGGCCGCCTGAGCCTTTGCCACGTCTACAGCGGCGTTGTTCTTCATGAGCTCCTTGAACATGTCCGCGGTCGCGTGTTCCGACCTGCGAAGAGGAAAAAATAGAAATTAGATGTAAGGAAGAGAGCAAAACTTCATGAGGTCCTTAAACACGCCCGAGTTCGCGTGTTCCGACTAGAGAAAAAACCAAAAATATACACAGAGAGCGAGAGAGAGAGAGAGAGTACAGAGAGAGAGAGAGACAGAGAGAGAGAGAGACAGAGAGAGAGACAGAAGAGTTCAGAATAAACCAAAAGAGAAACAAAAAAACGCCTTCTCGGCAGTCGCGTGTTCTGACCTATGAAAAAACATCAAAAAAAGGGAAAGACGACAAACGAGTGAGAAAAAAATAGCAAGGTTGTGATTCATGTCTAGAGCTCCTTCAAGAGTCGGCGGTCGCGTGTTCCGACCTGGGAAAGAAAAAACTAATGAATACCAACCAAGAATCACGAGTCAAGATGAAGAAGATTGACAGAAAAGGAAAGTCGATGAGAGCTTCCATAGACAAGGAAACGATGAGAGCTTCAATAGACAAGGAAAAGAGGCACGAATCAAGAGAACAACAAATGACAAAACAAGAATGGAAAGCAGCGTGTGTGTATCACGTGTCTTGACAACAACAACAACAACAACAACAACAGCAACAGCAACAACCACGCAGCTCACTTGGACCACAGGATGCGGAGCTGAGGGAAGTGGAGGGTAAGAAGCGTAAGCTGCGATGTGATGGAGGTCAGCTTGATCTCGGAGGCCAGGTCCCCCGACCCCAGCAAACAGAAAGCCTGCATGGTGGGGATTGATCGCCGAGAGTGCCCGAGTCAAGGAAAAGCTCGGTGGAAACGACGGATCCCCGAACTGTTGGCGTTGTTCCATGGTAGGAGGAGGGGGCAACGATGTGTGTGGCGTGGTCGTGGGGTGTCAACGTGATGTTGTCTTGACAATTCCTGCCTCTGCTCAACACCTGCTTGCCAACGCCTGCGGCGGTGCAAAAATTAGTTCACAGGCCACTCATTTTACCCATATATTGCTACACCGTACGACCAGATTCATCCTAAACGCGACAATACATACAAAAGAGACGTGAAAGAAGAAAAACAAGAAAATCAGGCACAACATGACGAAGAGAGTCCACGAACAAAGCCCCAGATATCACTGCCGTCCAAATGGTCAATACTACTGTATGCACGTCAACAACAGCAGTCCAAAGACAAACGAACGCACCTTGCGGGGGCTGAACTCGATTAGCAAGACGGGCGTTTTCATCAACAACTTCGGGCCAACCAAAAAGAATGGACGCACCTTGTCAGGGTTGAACTCGATTAGCAAGACGGGCACCTTGTAGTGCTTCAGCATCGCTTCCACCTGAGGACATTACAAAGCGCGGTTCGACGAAGGCATCGACGACACCCGTTTGGTGACAAATACCATCTCAGCAAAAGACGCAATCAAACCGCTAAAACAAACCCGAAACGAGACTGCTTTGCTTTTGCACATTATTTTTTTTGACATCTCCAAAACAACCAGTCGAACGAAATAATGGCGAGATAAGGCCTTTTTCTTTTGGACGTCGATCCTTGCCCCTTTCGGTACAATTCTGTCCTACGCCTTTCGGTCTGTTCTGGATGCACCAGCCTATAGGTAACACAAGCGGTTCTTCCAACAAGCAAGGAAAAAGGAGCTGAACAAATTTGAGAAAAACACGCCATTTCCAAAAAAAAATAATAATAAGACGGTTTCCTTGACATCAACAAGTCCAAAACGAAATTTGGCGGCCCCCACCCGCTCACGGGTATCAAATCCGCACCATCACGCTCGGCCGGTTCTTGACTTTCGCATACGCGCTAAGTGAGAGGAACAACAACGCCATCAACAACAACGGCATCCAGGCCACGTCACAAAGTCAACGGCAACGGTGACGGCTACACCAAAACATCAACCACAGGGCAGGCATGGTGATTCCTCCGCCAATGGCCAGCACTCTCCACCAAAACAACGAAACAAACCTGGTTGTACAGCCTGCCGGAAGACATGGACTGGAACAAGTCGGACAGGCTCTTTCGCTCGACGCAGATCTGGGGCGTCAGGACGTAGTCGCCGACCGCTATGACCAACGGGACCAGCTCAAACCCTTGCTGAAGAACGGGGGGGGGGCGGCGGAGGGGCGTACTCATGTTTTGCATGCCTCATGTAGCGGTTAGACCATCGACGAGACGTACATGGTGAAAGGGAGACATTCAGAAGGGTGTGACGCTGGATGGAGACATGGAGGGCTGACGGGGAGAGGATGGAATTCACAAGGGGGGAGGGCTGGGAATGGGTCGGGTGGAGACGGGAAAGGGAGAAAACAAACTAGAAGGGCCAGGGAGGGCGGCAAAGAACACCGGGAAAGATGAAATTTAGAAGGGAGTGAGTGAGGAGGGAGATCAAGCCGGGGGAGGGGGGGCGAAAACCACCGGGAAAGAGAGAAACTTGTTGTTGTTGTCGTTGTTAATATTGTTGTTGTTGTTGTGGTTGTTGCTACTGCTGCTGCTGTTGGTTTTCACGCTACAGTGGGGGGTCCCTGTGTAGTGCCAGCATATGCCCAGAAAGTTCACTAGCACTACACCGGCACTATTTATTCAAAGTACTGACAATGACTTCGAAATTCAGTGTGTGTGTCCGCCGCAAAAAACGGCACTATAGCACGCATTGGCACTATTCAACCGACGACACTAAACAGGGACCCCCTCTGTACAGACAAAAAACAAGGAAACGCACAAGCACGAACAGGCGTAATGAACAAAAAACATGCGTGTTGTATATTCTACCTGATGCAGCAGGTTGGGAAGGACGCTGCGGAACTCTCGAAGGTCCACGACCACCCTGAGAGACGCTTGTGCCTTCCGACGCCCTCCCTTCCTGCTGCTGCCGCTGCTGCTACCCTTGCCAGCCTCCGCGAGGGGTGTGGAAAGCCGTGTGACTTTTCCTTCTCTTGCGGTCCGTTCCGCTGGCAAAAACGAGGTCTGAAAGGTGGACCATCACCCGTTGGCACGACGGTACAGGAACAAACGGGGGAGACGCGAAAGACGTCGATAGCGGGGGGGGGGGGGTTCCATTAGTGCGAGCGCTATCACTAGGCGGCTTTGTCCTTCTATAATGGGGCCCGCCATTCCACCGGTTAAGGGCAGGGTAAAAGTCCACCGGAGGGGTGCTGTTTGCACCCTTCTTCCTTTTCGGTAGAAGTATCCTACATGGAGCTGGGGCATGAGTCGGAAACAGAGGATTTAGAGCGAATGAGAGAGAACGAGACAAAGAGAGGGCAAGGAATATATAGGGAGTGAGCGGGTGTGTCCACGGCCACCTTGTAAACTGCTTGCGAGAAAAACAAAAAAAACAAAAATCAAACCGCCACGACATTATCAACCGCAAACTCAAACACAAACACAAACGTGTTCTCATGGCCAGCAAGCTTGAAAAAATACATTACAACAAAAAAATTAACAACAACGACAGCAACGATGGCAGCGAAGACAGCAACAACACACAACGCAAGCAGCCAGCAAAAAACATGCTCCTCCAAAACGATCACCGCAGAACCAACAGCGCGGGACTGAAGATCCCATCGCTCTCACAGTGGTTCTGACCGGGACGGTCATGCGAGCCTTCTCCTCGATGAGGCTCTTGAAAGCCTTCGTCTCCCTGTCCAGTGACGTCAGGTACCTGCAACATGTCCAAACCATCGTAAGCATTGGAGGTTCAGGTGGGGGTAGAGGCTTCCCACCACAAACCTGGTTGAGTCAGTCGGGGAACATAGTACTTGCCGCAATTGAGAACGTCGAAAGCTCTGGAGGGGGACGGGGGGGGGGGGTCAAGTTCCTTCCATCAGAACGACCACACTTTAACGATGAGTCGGTGGGAAACTTAAATAGTACTTGCCGCACATTCCAAAACATCGTACGCAAAGGAAGGCCCCGGGGCGGGGCACTCGCGTTGCAAGTCCCCGTAAAACTCGATTTTTTTTTCTTTCTACAAGGCATCGATCACGCGGAGCCCCCACTCCGGCTGTTGTCCCGATCCCAAATGTTGCCAACTTTCTAAGGCAGCCTTAGGCATGTCTCTACAGCGTTGTGCCATACAAAAAAGTTGCACGGGATCGTTGTTGAAGCGCATGTAGAGCGTTGAACGTCGAATTTCGGGGAAATTGCTGGAGAACTCCACACGAATTCGGAGGTAGACATGTGGAGCGTAGTTGGTCGGTACATAGGCGAAAAGAGTGCTTTACTGGAACGATCCTCGTAGTGGCGACCCAAAATTGGCCCAACCCCTCAATGCTACCGATGCCTGTGTAATCCACCCTGGGAAAGTCTCGAGCGGGTTCTTCAACTCCTTCGCGTGCATGTACCAGCGTGCGTTTTGGTGAGGAGAGCTGAGGAACGAGCTTGAAGCACGAGCTCTTTCACTTTTGACAGCTCGGCATTTGCCAGGTTCAGAGCGAAGCCAGGGCAAACCAAATGAATGCGCGTGTAGAACAACAATATGCATAAGGTATCCTGTAGATTTTATGGCACTGAGCCATCTGTATGAGGAGCACCGGCGGTGAAAAAGGCGTACACCAGATGATGTAACAGGGCAACCCATCATGGGGGCTCACGCGGGGTTCGAACAGGAGGACAATGCTTATGCGTTTGAGTCGGTGAAGGAAGCTTGATAGTACCTAGGCAAGGCAAATGACACCATGCATCCAAAACAAAGGTACCGCACCCAATTCGTCTACATCTCCAAAACGACGAGAAGGAGAAAATATGCCCCCCCCCCCCTCCTCCCCTGTGTTTGCCATCGGGGTTGGGTTTTCGTCGCTTGGCAACCACGTCGTAAAACAAGCCGATCACTTCGTGAGCTCGGCGGCCAGGTTAGCGAGTTTTTTTTTGTTGCGGTAACCATTAGTGGATGGTGGTCGAGTACATTATGTTGTGCGGGGTCGAGAACCCTCGCTGCGCGCAAAGGGGATGATCGCACCACCTTGTGTTCAATTGGCCAAGCACCCTCGAGCCAGTACACTGTGCTTCCAACTGTCTTCTGGAATCGAAAGCACCAGAAAATAACTTAAGTCATACGCAACTGTCATCCGTACGCAAGGAAGTAAGCACAAGACGCCGAACGCCCTTGGCAGGACGCAGCGCACCCTCATGCGACTCTCCGAATACCTCACGGTGCTTCGCGCTTGGTGGTGTGAGAGCCTGGTCCGGTGAGAACCCGGCGTGCTCCGTCCCGGCTTTCTAGGGACGCGAGGTCAATTTACGGCAGACTATGAGTACACCCTCCCCCACCCCCCCTTCGCGTACAGCATATACAGAACAAGCACCGTTGAGACGCCCCTCTCCATGGCAACACATCGGAACATTTCAAGTGCACACACCCTAATAAATAGCCCAAGTCCCCCTTTTACCTTTGCTCCTACACGCTTTTCATTCGTCGTTACAACACATCAAACGTGTACATATCCTAAAACCAAATAGCCCAGCTTCCCCCCTTTCCCCTTTTTACCTTTGCTCCTCCACGCTCTGCTCGTACAGCATGAAGTACACCACGAGGGGGGGGCGGTCGAGCGGCCTCCCTGCCTGGTAGGCCTCCAGGGTTCGAACGAACGCCGCGTCGGGGTCGTACAAAACCACAAAGTCCGGCTCTAGGTCCTGGAGAATGTTGAGGCTTTCCCGAGCCTGGTCGAGAAGAAAAAAAAAAGAGGGGCACATCAAAAACGCAAAGGGCAAAAAAAAAAAGGAGACATGACGCACAGCAGACACAGTGAAACGGCAAACATCATACATCGCCAAACGGTTCGAAAAGAAAACTTGGACATAAAAAGACAGAATAGAAAGACATGATGTATGACCACAGCGGTAACGACAACAAAGATCATTGAAACGGTGGTTCGCCAGACCCTACTGTCCACACGCTCTGCGGGTTTGTCGCCAAAATGCTCTCCTCCTGCCTCCACGCTCAAATTTACTTGTGATGGCCATCATATGCGTGTGCACGGAGGGGTAATACCAATGAACCGACAAGCAAGTTTGTGACAAGGTTCCTGCCACCTCAACCTCATTCAACACGCTAGGGGCAGGTCCCGCCATCCCCAACCTGTTCTCCTCCGCCGCAGTTGCGTCCTCCGATTGAAGTTTTCTACTCGATTTTCCCTGTGTGCCACCCCTCAGCCAATATCGTAAGTGTCCTTATCGTGATGAGTCCTTGGCTTCCCCAAGCAGACGCACTTGTCCAACGGAAATCACGAACCTCTTCGCTCCCCGCGGCACTCCCGCATACCACACTACGGCACCCACGCATCCCCCGCTTCTGGCGGCAACCCCTCATATCATGACAACCCCGCATTTCTCATACCACGGTACCCCCTCCTCCATGATTGAAACATGAGCACACCCGGATTTGTCTTGTCTTCCCTTCTCTTCTCACCTGAGCGTAGGAGAAAACCACCGCGTGGAGAGAGGGTAACGGTTCGAACACCAGGTCCTCTCCTCCCCCTCCTCCTCCCCCCGATGCACAGCCCCCCGCCTCACCCCCTCCTGTTCTTGCCGCTGAGGATGCGCCTGAGGCATTGCCGCCCCGTCTTGCCGATCTCCCCCTTCTCCCGCCCCCGCCTTTGCTGCCCCTTCCTCGTGAAACCCCTCCTCTGCCAGCAGATGCTTTCCTTCCCTCCGAGGACGACGATGAGCCTCCCCCCCCCCCTCCACTCACACCGTCCTCTTTACGCCCTCCTCCCTCTCCCCCTCGCTCCTCTGGTACCGATGCTTCGTCGCCGCTCTGTCCCCCATCCCCTTCCCTGCTGCGCTTCTTCCCTGTACCGACCTTTCGCCGCCTGTTTTCACCGGCGTGACCTGAAAAAAAACGAGGCACAATTTACGGAAGGCGTAGAAAAAAAAAAAAACGCTGCGGATTGCCACCAGGGTATGGCGGAAAATAAAAAAACAGAATTGAATCGCGATAGTGTTGGTTTTTCTGGGCCGTCTTGATAACGTGTCTCTCGTCGGCTTTTCGTTCTTACCTTACCGATCTCTCGCCGCAAGTTTTCGCCCGCGTGGCGCGAACAAAAATAAACATCACGTTTGCTAAAACCGTCGATTATCGACTCAGCGCTCTTTTCTCGCTACATCAACACAAGGAATGAATCCGTTCCCGTAGAAACAAGCCCACGAAAATAAATGGCACCTTTCGTTGAAGGTGTCCGCAGACGGAAAACAACCCGTCTTGCATTGAAGCACTGCTGCATAATGCATAGACGGTACTGAGCAGAGACCGAAACGGTTAATGGTGTGAGGTCAATGATGTGACGAGAACAACAAAACAAAAAACAAGGAACCTAGCTTCGTTGGAATATTGCGTTACCTCGTGTCGGGCCTACACGCCAAACGTTTAAACAACACGCCAGCTCGTTGTGCTAGACTACCCAGTTTTCGTCGTCATCGTTTCCGGGCGTTTTTTTTCGAGGACGTGGAGGGGGGGGGGACGCACCGCTGTCATCCCCTCGTAAAGGGGACGCGTCCCTATCCTCCCCATCGTCATCATCACCAGTAAGGTCGACGCTGCCGCCCCCCCTCTTGGCTACAGTTCCTGTCGATGCCGCTGCCGCCGCTGCGGCTCGTCGTGCCTGTCGCTGCTGCTGCTGCTGCTGCTGCTGCTCGAGCACATCGGCAACGGCTTGCTCCGACTCCAGCCGTTCTCTCTGCGAGACGACCGCAGGTTCAACACCAGAACAATAATCAGAACCACACAGCAACAGCGCCGGGCCATCGGTCTATGCTCAAAAAGATAGATGTTCTCTGGTACAAACTAAGGCTCACGAGTGTGCGAAGCGAGCAGGATCGGGAACCAGAACAAAGCCTCCTAACCAAGTCTACCATAGTAGTGCCGCCCGTGCTCAAAAGAAACCCGTTCACTGAAACCAGAGGCTCAGAAATTTGGGAAGAAAAACCTAGGAAACAAACTGGGCTCGGTGGCCGGCATCACACTGCATCCTACCACATGGTGGTACCTCAGCAACGGCAGCCTGTGCTCAATCGTTGAGAGCCTGATGTAAGGCTTGCTCAAAAGACGTGCAGTATCTTGCTGGCGGGCCGGTACCCTCCCGTGTGCTTGAAAGGGCTTTCCTGCGTGCATGGTGCAATGCTACTATTTACATCTCCGGAAGCAAGCAGCACAGAAGCCGAACTCAACCCATTAAGACCATCACAGTCAGCGCTGACTAAAAGGCTATAATGGTTATACGGCGACAACGAAAACGGCAAAAATAAAAAACAACCCTCTCACCAATTCTTTCAACAGCGACCGCTCCAAGCTGAGCTTCGTCGCCTTCGTCGCTCCCTCCCCGCCTCCTCTTCCTCCCGCCGTAGCAGAGGATGAAGAATGACGAAAAGCAGGGGAAGCGCCGACGCCAACCCCGCTCATTCCGCCGCGTTTGGGTTTCGCGCCCCAACGCCCGGCAGACTCACCGCCTGGACAACACGTACCCCCCCCCCCCCGCGCGCGCACGCACACACATCGACATTCGGAACCGAATCACCTCAAGCCTAAACAAGCGCCAATATCGAGCTCTGATAGATCAAAGGCGAAAAATCACTTGTGTATCTGTATGATGGCGTTCGAGAAGCCCAAGGCATGCGTACGGCACGAATAGCGTGGGGTGCAGTCATCGTGAAATGCGATCGGCGTTCACCTCTGATTGGTCTAATACGAAGAACGAAAAAGCAACCGTAACTTGGTTGTCGAGCACCAAGCGATCGGGGTGTTTTGCAACCTCGTTGCCAAGCGGCGAAAACCCACGAGGGGGGGGGGATTAGCTGTGCTTCTATTGTTGGTGCGGCCTTGATGCCATGGGCCTTTGCAGTGCCACCGACGTCCCCCCTTCGTATCACCGTGGCAAATAACGTACATTGTAATGCTATTGCAACACTAAATAAACCCCAAGGGCACAAAAGGGGGCGGGGGGGGGTAGCTCGCTTCCACTAAATAGTTGAACCTCCTTGATGCGACGAACCCTTGCTATTCCACCGACTTCCTCCCTTCCAGCCTCCATGGCAACAAACGGCAAGAGCAGTTGATTGCTATTGCAAAACTATAACCTACTGGTGTACAAGAAATGCCTCAACCGAGCCGGATTAAGACGCAAAAAAAAAGGGGGGGGGGGGATTCAGCCGTGCTTCCACTATCAGTTGAGCCTCTCTGATTCGACGAACCTTTGCTATTCCACCGACGTCCTCCCTTCCATCCGCCGGCCCCCCTTGCGGCAGCGACCCTTCCCGTACGCTCCTCGGACTCTCGGACGAACCTAAGAACACCAGCCAAGCACGCAAACAACAACGACCTTACATCTTACATCAATTTCAAATTTGTTCGCCGAAACAAACCAAGCTCTTTTCTGCATATCTCTATTGCAGAGATGAAAGTCAAAGGACAAATTAGCGATGCATTCAGAGTGATGTATTCACCCGACCTACGAACGGTTCAATATATACAACCACGGGACTGTCATGCTTGGTAAGAAACAACACTCGGGACTGTCAGGGTTTGGCCGCACCGCGCAGTTCGGGCTTCCGGGCGGTTTTGAAATACGAGCAAAGTAGAGAGATAGGTCGCCTGGGTGCGGGGGCGAGAGTGTACCAAGAATGCCGCCACAACTCCCTACATCCATACAGACAGACCGACCTACCGACAGAATAACAGACAGGCAAAGACACACACATCTAGCTACGGTTGACCCCCAAAGCGCGACAAAATCACGAAAAAACAGTCGAAAGCCCCACACCAAATGGCGGGGCTACACACTTCTAATGGACGCGGCACGACACTCACTGCAAGTAACGCCTCTTCATCGTCATGAGAACTGTGCACCAAAGGCGGAACTACCGTAGGAGACACAAGATATTTACCACTACCCCTGGGCCGATTGTCAAAGCTCGACCACTCCCCAGTAGAAAGAGTGACCGTGCCGAAAATGGCGGCGTTGAAACCGTCTCGTCGAGATCTTTTCCACAATATATCATTTGACTATAGCATACTCTTCGTCGTGGAGTAATCGAGCTTTGAAAATCGGTCCAAGGGGGTGTGGTATTTTACGTCACCTACGCTACATACAAATCCAACGGAGACGACGCGACACTCACTGGAGGAAGCGCCTCTTCATCATCGCGGGGCCCCCGAAAGCAGAGTGCTCCCGCAGCTGCGTGCACGTCTGCTCATCCTTCACCAGGACGAGCACCCTCGCTCCCCCCGCCGGCTCTACAACCGCTGACGACTCCGCCGGCACCGGCGATTTCGAAACCACGCGTTGCCTGCGAGGGAAACCGAGGGGAAACGGACGGGCCTGTCAGCGACAACATAATGAGCTCATTGGCGAAATTGAACAAACAATGATTGGTGGTTCCGACACATTATCAGGACGCGTCACGCCGGGTTTGCATCGCACATCAGTTTATAGACTTAAAAAGACTCGAAATAAGTCCAGTACATACCCAGCCGGTTTTCCTCCACTCCCTGAAAAGACGCCACACACATCCCGTTCGACTGTGAGTATATCTCGAATGGGTAGTCTTTGTGTGCGTGTATTTATTTTTCCGCAACTGCTGGGCACCCGGCATCATACATGAAGCATGCCTCAAGGGGCCCCGCACACAAAAAAAAAACACAGCTACGGCGCTCGCCGTTACCTCTGTCTCGCGGCGTGGAGGTCGCGGATCTCCTTCATCACGTCGGCCGCAAGCCGCCACTTCGCGTTTTCCTCCAGAACCAGCTTCACCTCGTACTCAACATCACCACCACCACCACCACCACCACCGGCGGTGCCCCCGCCGCCGCCACCGACAGCAGCAGCAGCAGCAGCAGCAGCAGCGGCAGTGGCGTTTTTCTTGGCCGCGCCACCGCTGTTTCGAGGTCCGTGAGCAGCGCCACCGGCACCGTTCCGAGGAACGATCTTGTACACCCTCGCCTTCGCCGTCACGAACAACCTGGTCGGTCGGGTAGACAGCAAGCAGTGGGTTGAGATTGTGCGGAGTGGGAAGGGGGGAAGGGTTTATGTATTCGCACGCCCTGATCCTTCGGTGGGGAGGCGTGGTTCAATACAGCCTCGGGCTTTCATTGTAAGCGGGTTAGGGGATGGATGTGATATTTAAAGACGAGATAAAGAACACCACCACCACCACCAGGAACAACCGCAAAAGCAGCAACACAGCTCTGCAATTACCGACGACAACAGTAAAAGCGACAGCAGCAGCAGCAACCACGACGACAGCATCAACATCGCACCTACACCACCACCACCACTGCCTCCGACAACAATAACAACAACAACAACAACAACAACAACAACAACATAACACCGCCGACACCATCATCGAAAGCCATAACCATCACCAACATCACACCACCGACAACAACAACAATGACAACAACACCAACACCAACAGCAATAGCAACAGCAACAGCAACAACAACAGCAACAGCAACAGCAACAGCAACAGCAACAGCAACAGCAACAGCAACAGCAACAGACCTATCGGCCGCTGAAGTTCCGATCCACAGAGGGGGATCCCGTACGGCTGCGGCCTTGCTCTTCTCCCCCAGCAGGAGCTGGTAGAAGGTGATGGCATCGTACCGAAACACGTAATCCAGCAACGACCGCAAGGTCTTGAGGTCTTGGAGCAGCTATTTACAGAGATCGACGCAAGCAAAACACAAAAGAATGGGGAAAAGACGGTTTCAACCTTGCGGACTCACACAAGCTGAATGCGGGTGCTGAAATGCAGCAGCTAGTGTGGGAACGTTGTATGAGCGCTGGTAAGAAGAGGAACAAAGGGTGTGAAACAGCGAGTAACACCAAGCAAGGAGCAGCCGACCTATTCCTCCCTTCCAGTACGCATTCATTTGTTCCTGGCACAGTGCGGTTATTGTTGCAAACACGTGGGTCCAGATGTAGATAGCAAGAGCGGAAGGCTGGAGAAAAAAATTAAAAAGAAGAAACACAAATATATATATATAAAAATAAAATAAAATAAACGACACATAATACTAAAGAAAGAACGGTATTGAAACCTACGGCGCAGGGTGCTCGTTCTTGGGGCAACTATGGGGCATACGTGTGTCTGTTCGTCCCATCTATTCTTGTGCCGGTTTTCAGGCCTTTCGGCGTATATACCTGACGTTTCAGCCGGGGCCACACAAGAGGAAGGTCAGACAGGAGCTTTGGTTGTTTCTTGTTTTACTGCCCCACCTTGCCCCCTGCGTATATAAATCCTAATCGGCGGACATCCTGTTGCATGCAGGCCCGTGAAGCCGTACAGCATGTCTCATGAAGGCATGGTCTGTACGTCCACCTGGCCATGCCCGCTACGGCCTTCAAAGAGGCACATACACACATGCCCTCAGTCGACAGGTATTCCTCCACGATGAGTAGGGGCTCGGAGTCGCAAGCTGGGCATGGCGTGTCTATAACCCTGGCTGTGCTCACTATCGCCTTGAAAGACGCACTCAACAGCTAGATACCTAGCACCCACGGTGTGCTTGCGCAAGATGCCACATCTCTTGGACCCACAATCTTCCAAAGCTCGACTGCTGCACGACGAAGACGATGCCTCAACCAGACAATGTTACGTTTCCAACTACCTGGCTGTGTCGCACATGTCTGTGAACAACGCGCTCACAGGAAGCTGCAAGCAAGGGATATGCATAGCACCTACCAGCGGCACGTATTCGATCGAATCGCGTATTTGTACGTGCGTGATCTTCGTGTGGGGGCGGGGGGAGGCGTACTCTTATGATTCGCGCGCCTTAGCTGTTAGACCATTGACCACGCGTCCTCGAGAGCGGCTCATTGTCACGACAGGGCCGATCACCGATGACGGGCAATCTGCGTGTTGGAGGGAGGAGGCTTGGAGCGATACCTGCATTAGCTGTTGAGTATCTGCCATACCTGTTTGGTTTTGAAGCCGACGCGATGCCACTCTGGCTCGAGCTGGCGTTGCGCTGACCTGCCAAAAACAAAAAAAAAGGAATCCATAGACGTCAGCGACATCAGTATCAAGAACAAAAACAACAACAGCCGCCACAGCAACAGCAACAATATCCATAGTAACAGCGACGGTGATATTCACAGCAGACATGCTCAAGCCCCCCGCCACCACCACCGTCGCAACTGCAACGGCAACGGCAACGGCAACGGCAACGGCAACGGCGACGGCAACACCGCATGCACACCCATCGAAGGAGGTGAAGATGCATCTCTCCACCGTGAGCTCAGCGCATCAACAGCAATCAACGCACCACAGTCACCTACCACCGCTATCACGTCCAAAAACAGCAACAGTAGCACTGCACATGCACACCTATCAAAGCAGTTGAAGCAACCATATGTCTACGCTTTCCGAAGGATTTTATAGAACGAGTTGCAAGGAGCAACAAGTGCACGTCGATCAACGGAGACGAAGCAAGCATACAAACGTGCACAACTTTCGAAGGATGTGACGCGACAACACATATGTACACCCTTTTCGAAAGATGAGGGAAGCAACAGCACAAGCACCGTATCGAAGGACATGAACATGCATCTCTCGAGTCAACGCATCAAGAGTATCAATCCAACGTGCCCAGCAACCCCAACCACTACTTTACCACGTCCAAAAACACCAACAGCAACAACACAAACCCACCACAGCTATTGAAAGAGTTGAAGGAAGCAACAACACATGCGCGCACACCTATCGAAGGAGTTGAAGATGCAGCTCTCGACTGTAAGCTCAGCGCTGTCGAGGGAAGGTGCCGCTCCCCTGAGCTCTCTCAGGGTGTGATCCATCAGTACCACGATCGCTTGCTGCACCTGCAGAAGGCACAGCGTATCAAGAGACGATTCATGTCAGCTGTGTATGGAAACGTCGGGTAGGTCTTTGTGGAATCTCCCAGGTAGATCATCGTCGGCTGCTTGGTAGTGCATCGAACGGGATGTGATCAACCAGTGCCACGGTCGCTTCCTGCACCCGCAGAAGGTGCAGATTGCCAATAGACGATGTATGTCTGCTGTGTATGGAGAAACTTCGGTTGTGTGTTGTGGTATCTTACAGATAAGATCTTCTTCGGTTGCTGTAGTGTTGTATCAAACGGGGTGTGATCAATCAGTACCACGGTCGCTTGCTGCACCCGCAGAAGGTGCAGCGCGCCAATAGACATGTCAGCTGCGTTTGGAGACACTTCGGGTGTTGCGTTTTAAAGGTAGATCCCCTTCGACTGCTGTAGTATTGTCTCGAGCGAGTAACGTTTCTGTGGTGGGATGCATATTCTCTACAAGTGGAATCTTACAGAAAGATTCCCTTCGACTGCTGTAGTATTGTCTCGAACAGACTGTGATCCATCAGGACTACGGTCCCTTGCTGCACCCGCAGAAGGCGCAGCGCGCCCCTAGACAATGCATGTCAGCTGTGTATGCAAGGTGTCTCACAGAAACATCCTTGTCAACTGCTGTGGTACTATCTAGCATACCTTTATTTGGTAACCTAGCCTGTGACCACGGGAATCGACCGCGTCAAGGGTTAGACTACTACGGACTGATCAATGTACTGGGTAGAGAGATCGGAACCGTTTTTTAATGGTAAGACGACAACAACAACAACAACCACCACAACAACACATTATGGAAGATCCCCTGGGACTGCTGTGATATTGATCTTGAAGGTATCTAGTCTGCCTGCGGTTGTACACTTTGAAAAACAAAAGGAAAAATATAGAAGAGCAATTATCCATCTAGGTAAATTGCGATGACAGACGAAAGAAGGCAAATAGGATCGACATCGTGTTCCAGATACCGAGAGAGGCAAGAGAGGTGGCAACCCCCCGCCTTGAAACCGATTGTCGAGGCTCGATTGCTCCACAACCAAGATTTTGTGCTGACACCAGCAGCAGTGGCGGTTTTGGAAATATCTCGCCGAGGGCTTTCCGCAGACATATCGGGTTCGTTCCGCACCGGCTTGGTTGTGGAGAAATCGAGCTTCAAAAAAGCGGTCCAGGGGGTGTGATATCGTACGTCGCCTACGGTACGTGGTACCTCGTTGGTGAGGGCGGCGAGCCCCCCCAACTGTATGCAGGTTGCTGCTACGTCATACTGCTGTACTGAGACAACCTGTCTCGCTAACACCATTGCTGACAAATTGAAGGCGTGCCGATCAACCACAACAGCAGTTGGAAAGAGACAACCGCCCGTCTCGACACAACGCGACTGCTGACGAACGAATGGAGATGCTGGACTGCACCTCTTTGGCGAGAAGAGGAGACATAGACGAAGGATGCGCATCCGGAAAGCTCTCGACGAGACGGCTTCAACGCCGCCGTTTTCGGTGCTGCCGCTCTTTCTGCTGTGGAGAAGGCGAGCCTTGAACATCGGCCCGGGGTGTGTGCTATCTTATGTCACCTACTGCTCGTGGGAAATTACAAATTACCTCTTTCGTGGGGGCCGTGAGGCCTTGAACCAGCTCCTCCACCTGGGGAGGGCGTCGTTCCAACGACTCCGCCACGAGGCTGTGGAATCGCGGCCAGAGGAAGACCTTAGCCACACCTAGGTTGCGCAGAATCTGAGAAAACAAAAACGAAAAAAAAGGAGACCAAAGGAAACAGGTACAACAAACAGGACAAATCAAACACACCAGCACCTGCAGTAGAATCAGCACTTGCACGAGCACACGTACCAATTTTGACAACTGTAAAACAACATTTCCAACAGACAAAGAAAAGCAGCAGCAGACACAATAACAACAACACCAACAAGAGCAAAAGCGACAGCAGCAACCGGTGATGCTACTCAAAATCTTGACCTTTTCTAGCTAGCACCACAGAGGTCGATGACAGTAAAATGACAACAGCAGCAGCAACAGCAGCAGCAGCAGCAGCAGAAATCGCAGCAGCAGCAGCAGCAACCGCAGCAGTAGCAGCAGCAGCAGCAGTAGCAACAATAGCAACAGCAGCAGCAGTAGCAGCAGCAGCAGCAATAGCAGCAACAGGGTAAGCTGCTCAACAATCCGGACCTTTTCTAGCTTGCCGAAGCCGGCGAGGAGGGACTCCGGCTCGTCCGTAAAGCCTTTCACGAAACCACTTCCGTTCCCCTCCCGATATATCCTGTATTCGACCGCAAAGAAGAGGGGTCAAACGGGTGGGTCTGGAGCGCAATGTGCATCCCCCCGTACACTGCACTCCAGACGCCCCGGTCTGATTGGGTCTTGGTTGTGGTCGAACGAAGCAATTATCGTGAGGGGAACGGGAGCCCCCCCCCCCCCCCCGC